ATCATCACGGTGCTTGTCGATCGACATGGGGTGATTTCGCCCATGTCACACGAGAGTCTCCTGCAAGATTGACATGGTGCTTGCCGATTGGCATAGGGTGATTTCGCGTGTGTTGCGTGAGAGTGTCCAACACAATTGACGAGGTGATTACCGATCGGCAGGGGGTGATTTCATATGTGTCACATGAAAGTCTCCCGCACGATTGGCACAATGCTTGCTGATTGGTAGGGGGTGACTTCGTGCTTGTCATGTGAGAGTCCCTTATAGGATCGGCATGGCCCTTGCCGATTGGCAGGGTGACTTCTGCTTGTTAATCGATAATTCCCTGCAAGATTAGCATGGGCCTTGCGATCGAAGGGGTTTGTCTTCACCTCACCAAATCATGTAGAGATCATCTGCCGAATACAAACGATCAGTCTGGATCCTGAAATGATCTAAGAAAATTTGCTTAAGACTATTGAAGGAGTTGACGATGTCGGGGTTCAGCCAATATAACCAATTCAGGGTAACCCTACTGAGCGTGGAAGGAAAGAAGAGATACATGCCTTCATCACATAGGCTCTTGCACCCTAAGACGGATTGAAAAGAGTGGATGTGGTTAAGAGGCAAGGTCTAAAATATCGATGGTATCGGAAATATCGGTAGTCCAAAAACACGAAAATTTCGATGGAAATATTGGAATATTATCGACATCTATAAAATTGAATAAAAATCACATAAACTTTGGAGGATGTTTATTTAGTCAATTATCTATTAGTTTATCACAAAAAATTGGACGGAAATGCATTGCATGATGGATTTAACTGATTTAAGTTGATTATATAGCGAGCTGAAAAACATTGTGAGTGTAGAAAATATGTTGTAATTAATGAAAGAAGATTAAACACACCATAATCATTTATAATAATGATTTACTACAATATTTTACACTTTATACATTGCATGGTAAGATACATGAGTGACTTAGTACTACATAAAGTTCCTATAAGGTTCAAATTTTTCACTATCTTCATCATCTCTATGTGTAGAGTAAGTGCATTGTGAAGAGCAGTCATCAAATGACAAATCCTCAAAATAGTTTTGTATGTAATTGTTAACATGCCACCCATCTGGATCCGAGATTGCTTGACGTTGTCCATAAGCAAAATCATTTTAAGATTGGTGTAGACAAAGAAATTTTGGATGAATAAATTCCATTAGATAAGAAAATAATTAGGTTCGATGGATTAAATTGTGGGCTCCATAATTCGCCCATGTGGCATACGACTCATCAAAATCAGATTAGTTGTCAAAGGTGACACGTGTCGATATTCGACGGAGTGCATCAAACGGTTCAAAGTGAAGACAAATTAAAGGAAGAATCTTCTGTGATTGACTTTGATTTAAATAAAATATTAATCAAGTCAATCAATCGAAGATAATTGGGTTAAATTGCCAAATCATCGGAATTGATTTTAAATCAAATCAAAATCCCACAAAATAAGGTCTTAAAGAAGGAAAGCTATTTAGGTCAAACATCCTGTAGGAGCCTATAAATAAAAGGCCTCAAGACGAAGGAAAGGAGTTAGACAGGCCAAGCACTTAGAAGAAACCGAAAACTCTCTGCATTCTTTACCTCACTTTGGAAGAGCCACCAAGCACAACAAATACGTGCCAGTTCCTCCACCCTAGAAAAATCCAATCACCAAACAAGCTTTGTGCTACCCGTTTGATCAAGATCAAGTCTCTACGACCCTTGTATCAAACACAAATTTTCTTTAAACACTTTGGAGATTGAATCAGAGGATTTAATACAAAGATTGTAACCCTAAATTTCATTAATACTAATATTATTTTGTACACGTGTTCTTGTATCATTTGTCGTAGGATTTTCGTGTTTACAAATTTGGCACGTCCAGTGGGACCATCTCTGCCTCTCATCTCTTTTTCCAGTTCCAAGCTCAATCAATACACTGAAAATGATGGCTTCCAAGAAGATTCAAACCATTCTCTCAACGAGAGGTAAAAGCGTAAACACCTCCTTCTCAAGCGGAGACTCTGCTGGGGTTGTCACCAGGAGCAAGGCCAAGGCGATATCCGCAACTCAACATGTCACTTCCATACCGACTCAAGCCAAGGCGAAAGATGTGAATTGAAGGCGTGAACCGGTTATCAATTTGGTCTCCTTAGGGGCAAAGAAGAATACCTCCCAAGCGGATAAGAGAAACTCTTGGAACGAAGAAAAGAGTTTTTCGAGCTCGAAGAATTCAAGAGAATGTTCACTCTCGCATGTTTCAGATGCTGACTTGAGCACAGGCTCATACCATGGATCCTCGCCTGACAACCAATAGAAGAAGATTGTCATG